CCAGTCTCTACTTACATATTGCATAGTGGTATGGAGTCCACTCCAAAAACAACTTTCTTGAGAGTAGAAAGGGTACGGAGAGCAATTCTAAAAGTGAGTATGTCGTTACCATATCGTTATCCTACTACTGAACTCTATGAAAAGTGCAATGTGCTTATAGTGCGACAACTATATATTATTCAGACCCTTCTTAAACAGCACTTCAAGTAAATGTAGAGCTGTTGTGAAGAGGTGGTTGCAAAAACTTAACTATATTTCCACCGAAAACCTACTATAAATATAAATGTGATTTGTGATTAACTTTTGGGGTTTCATATATTTCGTTTAAATAATCAGAATAAGCTTATACCTTCATACACACCAACCCACACACACATACACACACACACACCACACACACACACACACACACACACACACACACGCACACACACACACATACACTTCACACACTAACACATCCCCTTTTCTTACTCTGTCGAAACTCTGTAACTGTCCTGGTGATTTGCAATACAGGTTAATCCCATTTCAATCACCAGCTCCTTACAGCATTAATATTAAGAATATTTATGTATGTACCCAATGCAATGTAAGTTTTTGTGAGGAGAATAAATAAATAATAATTATTATTAATAATAGTAGTATTTCTTTTTACTTAATAAAAAAAATGATACTGATATAATGTTAAAAACTCATTACATATTATTTTTGAATACACAAACTTTTATTTCATCCCTCTTACAAATAAGCGTAAATACTGAAAATGCTCAACAATAATCTATTTATGTTGATTCAATACCGCGAAAGTATATTTTTTAATAATCTATGGGTTTTTTTACTAATGGACTATATTGATAGCTAAAGTAGATAAATTAACAATTGGTCTATACTGAAGTATCCAGCCAAAGATGTAATAATATAGAATATAATTAGCTTTTTCGCTCTTCTATAAAATTTGTCGCTTGCTAGTTACGCGCTATTAGCAACTAACGGTTACGCGGTATTGCAGTATCACCGACCATATGCGGTATAAACATAGTGAAACTTGAACCAAGATGGCCATATAAGAGCATGTCAAAATCGTAGGTATATAAATATTTTAAAAAGTAATGGCAGCGTTGGAGATATTTGCATGGTAAGTATGCCCAGTGTAACACTGAGTCCCACCTTACCCTATCTATTAAATCATAAATACCTAGGTATATAAGTAAATTATATAGTATTGGTATATGTTGGTACGTAATATTTTTATTATTATAAAATACGAATAGATTACAAAATACCAACAAACTTTTAAAATTACGATCGATCAGGAGCAAAATAAAAGAACAATACTATTATTTTGTAATCTTATCACTTATCACATCACAACAGCAATTACTTGCATGAATGTATTATTGAATAACTACCTAATGGCCGGTTCCTTTACATACCATACAACCTATATCGTTTCTACTATATTAACTCTAATGTAAATGCTACAGTTAAGGATGATAAAAGACCATTCAGTACCTACTGCTACTACACAATTTTAAATGTTATGTAAGTAAACAGTGGCGAAATTACACCAACCGAGGCCTGTGGTAATGTACAATAATACGTAATATACCAACCATACTTTTCACTGCGATTTCAAACGAAGGTTCTTAAATTTATTTACAGCCTATCTATGCAGTTTTCAAGAAAGAGAAACAATTTTTAGACTTTTCTGCAGGATCGAGATATGTAACTATTTGTCTAATTATTTGATATATAATTTTTTTTTTCAAAAATGGAATTGACTTAAAACTTAAAAAAGTTATGATAAATAATACTTATTTTAAGTGGTTAATTTTTCAAGAAACATTGAAATCGGACTGAGGTTTTCTGTAGTTTATTAAATGATATCCGCCCGATTTCTATGTTTCTTAGTAAAATTTTACCGTTTCTTAAGATAAGTATTTTTTATAAATGTGATAAAAAAAGTCTGTCTGAAGTGGGTTCTAGTTTTTTTAAATAAAATTCATTATTTTTAGTGATATAAGCATAGGTACTTATTAAATATTTTGTATAAGTATCACTAAAATATTAAACAGCTAGTTTATTTGATAGAAATTGATTCAGATTTCAGGAAGAAATCGGTGAGCATACCTACTTGCCTAAAAAAAATTGTAATTCCTTCTGACATATTTTGAATGATTGCAAAGTCGCTATCTTTTGTTTTTTCGCTGATATAAACATAAGATCTCTGATGTCATTTAGTAGTTTTCTTTTTATATATGTTATAAATAATAATACTAAATCGATTTCTATAAAATTTAAATGGGATGGCGTCGGCTAATTAAGTTATCAAATAATTTTGAAAATCGATTCATAATGATCGGAGGTATCGCGCAACAAACTAAAAAAACATATAGTCTAATTGAGAACTCCGTCCTTTTTTGAAGTCGGTTAAAAGCAAAACCACTTAGAGATCTTTATTATATCTAAATTAAATGGTAATCAAATTTAAGAGCGCACACATTACAAGCACGAGCTTTTGAATATAAAAAGATTCATCAAAACCAGTCCTTACTCCCAACACATAAATTTCACCCCCAGTAAAAAGTTATAAGGTAACATAAAAAACAGAGTCAAATTGAGACCAAAACGAATGAAAGTTAAATTAACGCCGACTTTTATGTATACTATGTAAGAAGAAGTCGTTGGATTTACATGCGCTCTTTAAAAACTTAACGATGTGTTAACGTATCGTAATCGGAATGTAGAGACAAGCCGAACGAATAGTAATTTTATAATAATAGGAATATATTGCGTGCGTGTTGACGTCACCACAGTTGTAATGTAACATTAGCTTTTAAGCCTTATATGGATCTAACATGGCCTTCGTGTACAGCTGCTGTTTTTGGTTTTCATTACGTTTAGGCGGTATACTGATTGGGATATTTTCTTTGGTAGGTACCAAAATAAATAATTAATAATATAAGTAGTAACTTTTTTGTGATCCAGGGAAAATGGAATATTACTATCTCTTCCACCTAACTAAGCGGTAGGGGGTCTGTGAGTTTTTATCCCGCTTACAGTCATATTTATTGCGTTGACCACTCGTCCGACCTTTTCCCCCGCTAGTTTCGGAGTCTATTGTCAAAGTCCCATGGAGCAGTCATCTTCCCACTACTTTACTAGAAACCACAGGGCAGAAAGACCCTGACCTAGGCAAGGGCGGGTCGTACTGAGCCACGGTCCGTGTACCCCTATGCGGCAAACACGTGAGGATGTCATGTATCTGTGCCCATAAAGATATGTTCTGCACAGATATCGATGACACCACAGCTATGACGAATTAATATGGAGACGTATATTTTAGCATAACAAATAATTCTTCTATTATTTATTTTTATTACAATCAATATTATTATTTAGTTTCAGGCACTGTTCATCTTAATTATTACATGTTTATTTTATAAACATTGCGAACAAGTTAAAAATGTAGTGACAGATTGGTTAAATAACCTACAGCTGGGGTATTATATAAAAATTTTCTTACAAAATTTAATAGCAGGTGAAAATATTCGATTACAATACAAATATATCTATAAAATAGCTATATCAACATTGCTAAGCTAAGTTAATATTTATGACAATGTTGCAGAACCTGAACGGCATTTCTCAATATCGATGAGTTTGGTGTGTATTTATATAGTTGTGTGCTGTCTCTTTATTTATGGAGCTTATATGGTAAGAATAAAGAACTAAGGTATAAAAAGAACAGAAAGGAAAAGTATTATATAAATGTTCTGTACTTGGGGCATTAGTGTCGTGCAAATACTGAGCTATGAAGTCAAATCTCAGATTTGTAATTGCAATGGTTCAATTCAGAATCTCGGACTCGTCTTTGACCACCTCCCATTTCCGAGTATTTAGTGCAGCATTAATAAAATTGCTCAATTTTTGCGAATGCGCGATAGCGCAAAAGGCGCGGTATGTACATAACTCAGAATCATTGTTTTACTCAAGTCCTATAAGTCAAGATAATTGTTTTACTCATGTTTAGTAGTTTTTAGTGAAGAAGAGAATCGCAGTTATATTTTTGATAATAATATTAACTAGCTTTCACCCAGCGGCTTCGCCCGCGTGGTTCCTAGGGTACTGTTTATTTGGATATCGATTCATATCATGACACGGATATAATTACAATGACAAATTGAATAGTAAACGATGATTTCCACTCCCATTTTCATACCTTTATTTCTGTTTTTCAGGATAAAATATAGCTTATGGTCACCGCATATGATGTAGGTTCCCATAAGTGAAAGAATTTTTAAAATCGGTCCAGTAATTTCGGAGCCTATTCATTGCAAACAAACAAACATACAAGCAATCAAATCTTTCCTCTTTATAATATTATAGAATGGATAAGATATATAGTTATGACATAATATAGGCTTAATAACATTTTGAAAAAAGCTGTCCTTTATCTATAGATTACAGAAACACAACAGAATAAAAATGTTCCATAAGATGTCCAAAGTTTTAATATTTGTTCGGAACCTTCGGTCCATATAATTATCTCTTTGCTTTGGTCCGTGGGTCCGATTCCCATCGACCAGTTTTTATATCATACCAACAGTGGATTTTATTAATTCTTATTTTTGTAGGCTTTTGAATTGAATGTTCATGCTAGGCCGATCATTACCAATTAATAATATATTAAATAGGTATAAGAAAACATTTGCATATTATAAGATAAAATACATACCTCGATTAAGTAGGTATATTATAACATGATTAAAACTCATAAGCATTAACTTGACACCAGAGCGCCTATGCTATTTGTCCACGAATAAAAATTCGGAATTGAAATCATGTCCATGAAGATTACCTATGCATCAAAGGTTGCATCATAAATTATCGAAAAATTATGATCTTTGAAGTCGTATTAGCATTTGGAAAATACCTATATCTATGTAATTTTGTGGTACGATTAATAATTATTATCTGATTTTATTTAGTGCCATAATATGTTCATGACGCCATATCTGCTAATGGAAGCAAGTAGACTCGTCGTATTGTCTACCGTGATAGCTTATTTCTTGCTGCTTCTCAAAGAAAATACTATGGATATTGGACTTCTCATCGGAGCCAGTGTTGCAGGGGGATTTTTACTATGTATGTGATGCATAAATTACACAATTGATTAATAAGTTAAGTATATTGAAATATCATCAAACCGATCAAGCTGAGAATCAAATTCGAAGCGACAATTAACAAAGTAAATTCACCCTTATCTCAAGAATGTAATGTTCATATCAGTGGCGTAGCGTAGTGGGGGGTGGTGGGTGGGGGTGTCGGGCGGCACTTTTTATTAGGCGGCAAAATTTCACAGTAATAAAATATATAATTTTAATATTTGAACCAATTCATATTTTTAAAGCAACTATAAATTCGGATCGAATGAAAATAACACGGAATTTTCGAATGACGAATTCGGAGAATAGTCTATCTTTAAATGATATTTTGTAATGAATGGCAACACAATCTATACCTACTGACTTACGGTGATTCCCCGTATTTTATTTTGTGCTTGGATTGTTTATGACTTATAATCAGCAATTTGCTTAATCAACATTATGCTTTGACTATTCAAAGAAAGTTTTATTCATGGATCTTCAGTTGTTTAATTCATGTATTTTTTTATTATAAATCTTTTTTTGTTTTTTAAAAGACAAGCCCGATTTTTAGGATACAAGTCCTGTGTGTGGAGGGCCAAAGCCGCTCAGGGCGGAAGACACCCACACTACGCCACTGGTTCATATTTCTTTTGAGGTAGAAAAAGAACAGAATATAAGTAGAATACCAACCGTATTCCAAACATGCACGCTACGTAGAAAGCTACGCGATTAACGCTATTTTAATGTGCATGCGCAAGCGTTTGTTTTATACCTAAATCCTTTTTTCAGTGGGAATGTTCTACTTGTGGGTATGCGCCCTTAACTTACCAGTATTAATTAACGAAATGAAGTTAGATGAACAAGCTGCCACCATAAGCAAGCTACAGCAACTATTGGAAGTTAACAATCAACAGGGTGTCAATAGAGATGATTTAATGGAGTACGGCTGCGGTGTCGTCAGCAATATCCCTCGTAGCATGTTTTTTGTGCAGAGACATTAGACAACTTACTCATAAATATATTGGCATATTTACTGTAATGCGTTTATAATCAAAAACATACATCGCGGTCGAACATACAACTTCCTCCTTTTTAACAGACTTCAAAATTCAAAAAGAGGAAGTTATATGTTCGACGGCGATGTACTTTTTTATTTAAGGTGGGTGGACCATGAAAGGCCACACTAACGAATAAACATTTTTTTAGTTCACGGGTTAAGTGAAAGCAATTTATTGTTAAATAACGATTTATTTTATTGTGTAACTTGAAAATTGTTTCTTTTTATTCTAGTTTTAAAAACGGATCATTATTTGCTTAGGTAATATAAGTATTATATATTTTTTTAAAAGCTCAACGAACATTCCCTCAACATCATCGTTAAACTGAGAATATATTAATGGATATTATTTAAAAGTTTTAGTATTCAGTATTAGATTGCTAACAAATAAGTTACCAATTCGTTTTAGAATAAAATTATTTAAAAAAATTACATTCAAAGGATCTTTGCAACGCAACAAAAAATGTTCCAATTCAATTTTTTTTTATTCGACAGCTTAATGGAACCACATTTAAATTTTCGATATCGAACCAGTAGTTTTCCTTTTATACCAAAATAAAATACGCTTTCCATCATATATCACCCAAATGTTTAGTTGATAGTTGATATGGTAAGACACGGTCCATTTCAACTAAAAACAAAAGATTGAGTATTTGGAATTCATTCAAAATCTGAAAGGTGAATTTTCTATGTTATATTATATACTAGGATTTTTTCCTGAATTGTGAACCAATTTCTATCAAACTAGCTGTTTCCCCGCGTCTCCATCTGCATAAATTATAGCCTATATCCAACGCATAGATGAAAGAAACAAGCAATCCAATCTTTCCTCTTTTTAAAACATGAGTATAGAATTATCGGAATAGATTATGTATAAAATCTTCTTTTTTTTAGGACTTTGTTATGCTATGTTGAATATTTTTATTTATATAGATATTTAATATTTTTAGTGTTACCTATTATATAAAAAATATCAATATCACTAAAAAGCATGAAATAAGAACTTATAGAAAATAGAACCGTCTTCAAACTTTAAAAATATGATAATTAATACTTATTTCAAAAGCCTATCATTTAATTAATATCTTTCAGAAGACCTCCGCCCGACGTCAATAGCATTTTCTCCAGTAAGTAGCTTTTGACATAAGTATTATCGATTATGAAATCGGTTAAAAAAGTCCGCAGTTGAAACAGGCATTAAGTGCTTTGAGTATTATGCCGTTAGCCATGCGTTGCATTCCAAAATTATATACATGTCTATTTGCCAACTTACGATAGATTCACATGAAAAGCATTCAATGTTCGAGCTAACGTTAGCGAGTATAGTAAATGTAAATGTGACTCATGGTACAACTTCTATAGAATACTATTCAAAGTGCGTTTATTCGCGATCGACTGCGGTAAAGTAATGAGAATTTACGATAGCAACTCATGGTAGCGCTACAGTGCGCGTTTGCATAAAATCGATTACATAGTTAAGTACCTATTTCGGTTATAGGTTGTTGATGTATCTACGATTAAATTATATAAGTTCACAAACTAATGTGTGTTTTAAAACTGTATTTCAAACAAAATAATTATGAATTTGGCATTATTTTACGTCAGTGTTGGTAAAACTGCACTCAATTCAGTTTCATACATAAATGTCTACTTGATAGTATAAGCCGCTGCCGCGCTCGCTTTTGAACCGAAGATTGACATAGGTAAATCCTATGCCTCCGGCTGTTACAACGGGTTCAGCTTGTGTGGTTTCAGTTTCTTTAACTATGATACCCTGTAAAAAAGGAATGAATGTAATTATGTAAAAATGTAATTATTATGGATATTTTGCTAAAAAAATCAAGTTTATAACTTGCAGAAATCAATCAATAAAAAAATCACCAACTGCGATTTGCATCTTTCTAAATCTAATAAACTAAACCTAGGGACACTGAAAAATGTCTTAAGAAGCCTATCACAAATACAGAAAACTCGCTGCTCGGCCGAATCGAGTTCGGACGGCTGGTGAACGGATTTTGTAGTAATTTTGCAGTTATATTTATTCTGTTTATTGAAATCGCTAATAAATTTGTGTTTAAAACTTATGAAATTTTTACATTTTCCTTTTGATGTTAGTAATGTAATAATTATTCTGCTACAAATTTTGTTCGATAGTACAAAAAAAGAATAAGCGCGTATTTTATGAAAATCTACAAAGTGTGCCAATAGTTATTCTGCAGTATTAAATAAGCCTAAATTGTATATTTTTTGGTACAATAGTTGGCCGTCAGAGCTCAAGACCACCAACCATTGTACGCAAGAATTGAGATGTACCTAATAGAGTCCTTAAGCACTTCTAACATTTGCTACGGTTAAGAATTAATTTTCAGGAAATCTAACTCAGAAGAACTTTATCGTTTACAATATTGATTACCTACTCGAGTATTGTAGGTGTTAGAAAAAAAAGACGCTGTTTGAGATAACGTTATTAAGTATTGGTATGTGATCAGATCAATCAGGCCTTTTGTTTTTTCCCATGAAGTGGATTCCGCTAATGTTTACTTAATAATCGCATCTCGATAGAATCTGAAGTACATTCTACGTCAAGTCAAATATTATTTTATATCTGTCACCATTGATGTGCGAGGAAGACATTTCACTAATACTATTAAACTTTATGTAGATCGTATAATGCATTTCGTTATTTTATCGAGATGCGATATAATTATGTAAACATTAGCAGTTGACCTGCATGAACATCGCGTAATATCAGGGATTAGGCATCTTCCCTTTACTCTAAATGATTTATCAAAAAACACAAAAATAAAGAAAATCTATTTTAAATCAAACAGAGCACACAGAGCAGAGTGGAAGAAAATAGTTACCTTAATAATTTGCAATCCAGGATCCGAATAAAAATATTCCTTTACTCTTTTTTTAAAAGGTATAGCCATATATTCAATTCTCTTTAGATTTATAAGCCGAGTATTGTAACTGGTGCCCAAAACTAGATCGCGGCCATAACATGTCGATAAAAGTACGATAGCAGTAACGCTTAAAAATAATAAAGACTTCATTATTGAAGGTAACGTGTAACTTCTCGGGAATATGATATTCAATAATTTCACAAAATAATTCTTATCCAAACGTAACTAACATAGTTCAAAGATCAAACGACTACATTGATAAAAACCGTTCTTAATAAATGGCATTATCAATCTTTTTACCATGCCAATAAGAGTTATATCTAAATATAGGTGACTGTATTATGTTCACACACTTAATAATAAAATAAAGTTCAAAAATATGGAAAACACATCGCCATGATATCGATTTAGTTAATTTTACTTAAGTATTTTTATTTAATTTTATTTATTTCCCAATTTATGCAAGATTTAAACGTTGAAATTAGAACGATAGTTATTTTAGGAATGTTGCAATGTACACACGGCTGCATGTCAGACTATACTTTTATTGTGGACTTTGTACCGACCGCAATATAATTGACCTACCCATAAATAAATTTCAAATTCATGTAAAGAATATAGTTATGAGTAAAGGCTATTATAAAGTTGATGATTATTTTAAGGACCGCAATGCATGGAATTAATAGCCTTCGCTCTGTTCTATAACGATTAATTATAGGTATGTACCAACCTTTGAAACTTGTATTTATTATTGTTATATGTATTATTTTGGTAATGACATGATTTATGTAAATGTCATTACTTATGATAAAAAGCTGGTAAGTTTCTTTCGCTTGTTCTTCTTGTCAGCTAAAAGACGTCCTGAACAAGTGGTAGGGAAAAATATTTTTGGACGATTCAAAAGTGCTTGTAACAAGCTTACTTGAATAAAAACATTTTCATTTCATTTCATTTCATAGAACTTCTCAACTAACAGAGGTCTGCTTATGGTGGTGGTACCTTATCTTTATCGCGTCCCCGATATTGAATTTAAATAAAGTTAGTACTAATATTGTACTATCTTCATCTATTATAGTTAGTAGACGTAATGCAATTTTTAGCTGGACTTTTTTAGAGATGCGTATAATATTTGAGATGTCGATATGGATAACTAGTTTCTTAAAATTACATATTTTTTTTACCCATATCTATAAGCGACCAGATAAAAAAATGCACTTCCGATAGCGGGATCTAATGTTTATTGCTTTCCATAGTTAAGTTAACGCGGGTACATAGCTATGAAAATTTGGCAAAACTGAATTACGGGGTAGAGTATTGTTAGACGATAAAAAATACGCAAAAGATTAGGTATGTATAACGTATTTTATTTGGATTTAATAAACTTTGTCATACATTAAAAACATCATTATTATAACAGCTCTTAGATAGATAATATTTAGGACGTATATAGGATATTTAGTGTTCCGGAAAACCGTGTTTTATATATTTATATGACAAAAAAATACTGTAATCTAAATACTTAAAAAAAGGAAATGCACAAATTAAATAAATGTGACCGGTGTGACTGTATAGAAAAATAATATTTGTTTATTTAATGGTCCAGATTTTCTCTATAACCCATGGAGCTTAAAACTAAATAAGAAAACAAGTCTAAAACAGTGGTTATCAACCTTTTGGCTCGCGGCCCAAATATAAATATATTTGAATCGGGATCTTGCCTAATTTATTTATGTATCAGTGTTAATAAAATAACAGTCCAAAGCAAAAACCTGTGTCACACAGCGTCTTTTAAAAATTATCGCGACAAATCCCAAGCCAAAATGTCACATAAAAACAATTTTGCTTTGTTATCCATAACAAAACTGCTGCTTTTAACAACTTATAATTCAGAAACAGAAAATACTTAGTGACAGTGCATGGACTACGTAATTATTTTATCATCAAACCCACCCCCGCACTCTTGATTGGCTCACTAGGATACTCTGGCGCTAGTGTACCTAATCAAGCGTAGGAAACAGCACAATTGCAATGTCGATTGCTTGCGATTGCGTTTGAGAGTAAGGGGGTAGAACAGTTAATAGGTACCTTTACCACTACCACCAATACATAACGACGATAACCTTCAACACAGACAGACGTTCTGTGGAATTACCAGTTACTAAAAATCTAAGAAACAACATGTACAGATAGTAACATTTTTTCAATTTACACAGAGCTAACTTGCATTGCTGCAAAACGGGGAGTCGTTTCGATGTCTAACGAATCTGTGGTCACTTGTGATCGCGAATCGGAATTCTCTGTGCTATTATGTATGGAACTCATTGAGATCTTATCGTCTTTTATACTTCCATTTACATCATTTCCATCAATGTTGGACTTTTGTTGGCCATCAGTCATATCACCGCCACCTCCGCTTAAAGAATTCCATATAGCTTTCGATGAATCTTTGAGTGTAACTTTTTTGTCAGCGTTTGGTGTGCTTTTATCTTTGTTTTCTTTAGATTTCTTGCCGAGTACTGGGAAAGAGCTGAGTTTCGGCTTCGAGGTGCGAGCGACAGCGCCTCGTTGGATTGGAGTTGAATCCGATTCGCCCTCTTCCGTTATAGATGTTAATACATCAGTTGAATCTGTAGGAACCACTTGACCGGCTTGAATTGGAATGTCATCTATAAAAAAAAAAAGGTTTAGGTACGCATTAGTTCAGAATTTAGATCTCCACAATGTATCGATGGAATGATTTTATTTGGCTTTATTAGACGATATACAGGACTAACAAAAAAATGCTGAAATCCTAATCTCCAATCAACCTTATAACGTCGTTGATTATACACAAAATGAAATAATTCTTAATTTCTGGGGTTCCACACTCGAAGTGTAAAATCAAAACCATATTACTTAGCTATTTAGTCCGCTGTCCGTCCGTCACCGTGAACCGTGACAGCTAGACAATTGAAACTTTTAAAAATATATTTAATAAATATCAGATAATATCATATAAATTGCTCAGATTCCAATATGAGTAGCCAAAGCCCCCGTATTACTTAAGTTCATTTTCTACTTTGACCCGCTCGGAAATCGAAATCGGGAGCTCAGAGATCCCACCTTGCGACACCTTGAAACTGGCAAGCGAACTACTCGGCTAAGCAAATGTAATTTTATTGCGTATTTTATATAGTTAATGGTACGGAACTCTTTATAAAGAATGACAATTATTATTTCAGTTGTATGTATTCAATGACGTATACGGGTAATTGGCCATTATCGACTGTTTTTTAGGGTTGCTGTAAAATTATGGCATTAAATTCTCAATAAAAATAAAAAATATTGCTTAAGTGAAAACTTTAAAGTTATTCGTTTAAAGAGTCTCACGTTAACTGACACCGAAGATATCTAAGTTATTAAGTGATATACAGGTACGCAAACTAAAACAAATATGTATAAAACAACATACAACTAATATCATGATTCGTACCTGAATTCAATAAAAAACAAAAAGAGGATATAAATGGTAATTCGTCTAGTGTAGATAACTTAATTAAGGGACTTTCATATCGTCGTTAGAATAAAAGATTCTTTCGATCTGCAATTTAAATAAATCGAAATAGGATATTGTTATTTTAACTGACTACGAGTAGTTTCTATAATAGCTAAGTTTTTCCGATACGGTAACAACTCCAATCGTCTTTTCCTAGTCAAATATACTAACCAAAATGGTGTCATACCTTTTTTAAGATATGTACTGCTTTACAAGTGTTAGTACGTAGAAAACTATAAGTGTTCCTAAGCTTTATTAGCTGCATGTGACTTTATAGCTTTAAGCATTATAGTATAGACAGATTCGCTAACCGTCATCTCTAGCGAATTCATTAAAAACTACTTGAACATAAAAACATTGTGACGTAAGAACATTGTGATAATTAAACTATTGTGTAATAATGTTTAACGCCATAATAGTGCTATATCCTGTAATAACTACCTCAAGATTTGATTTTTTTTTAATTTGAAAGATCTATGGAATCACTTTCAGAGCTAATGGATTCGTCATATAAGGATATATTAGTCTGAACATTTTGCACAGATACTTTTGAGTTTACTCCGTCGAAGAATTTTAATAGGTCATTCCAAATTTCCTGCGAATCCTTATAATAGTAACTGTGTTTGTTTTGATGGTTATTATTATTCTCTTTAGTCCAAAAAGAATCGTCAGTATATTGCGACCGTGAGCATTCATTAGGCAGCATGCAATAGCTATGATGTTCATCTGTATGTAAATTTAACATTAAATCATTCAATTTCATATAAGAGCAACTGAGTAGAATTATAAATTGTATCTCAAAATCCGTTATAATTTTTCTATGAGTTTCGCAGTTACCTGTTTGATTCAACCCAATATTCTTTAAAAGGCTCGTTTAACATAACTATACAAAGTTACTTCATATGTTTAAGTTACCTATTATTGTATTCGAGAAGTTACAATCGATTTAAATTCAAAATTTAGTAAAGTCTATAAAATAAAGTTCAAAAAACTTATCATGTAAAGCGGATACGATATAATTCCATTTACATCGATTCAATGTAAATGGGATTATATATATGGGAATAATGCGTAAAGTATTTTATCTAAGTTAAAAAAGAAAATATGACGCCTTGCGACCACATGGGGTCTGTGTGACCCTTACGTTACAAAAAAGTATTGCATGTTTAAGATGCGTTATAAGTATGTCCTAAAAAGGCCTCATTCACTAGTGCCTGATAAATTATTTACATTGTATATTCAGAAAAAAAGTAATCTTTAAATAAAAATATTAAAAGATAGAATGTAAAATTTACCAGGTAGCTTTTTGGTACGAAAGGATGCATTAGTAATCATTGATTTAGACATGGTGACAGTAGTAGTAGCTGGTGATAATGCTACACTGATACCCATTGGACCGTCACATGGTTGTCCTGAAAAAAGAAAAGTCATTGCTTTTATTTTTCTCCATACATATTAATTTGCTCAATGATAAATTTCAAAATATTTTTATTTCATTATTTACCTGAAGAATTATTTTTCAAAGAATTTATAACAGCACTGGTGACTAACATAACATCAGGAAATAGTTCATACTGTGCTCTTTTGTCGATATCCTTAACGGCTTGCAATGCTAATGTATAAAATTCATTAAACATAGCAAAGTAAGCACCTTCTATCATTTCTAATAAAAAGTTTGGTGTTACTGGAATCCGTGGGGTTGACTTTTGAGAATTAGCGGCACCAATTTTTTTGTGAAATCCTTGAGTCACTATTCTGTAACAAGCAAAGTTTCAAAGTAGTTTTTGAATATTTCCAATTTATTATGATGTTAATCAATTGATATCTTTACCTGGAAGCAGCTATACAAAAATGTCTTAAGGCCAATTTTGGCAATAGACTCAATTGTCGGTTATAAATGAAGAGAAGTGCTGACATTACTCTTAAACGGTTTTGAGCATTGAGAACTTCGACTTGAGACATTGGTCCCCAAGTCACTAATTTTGTATTACATTCTTCCCATCTACGTAAAGCATTCTCAGTTAGGAATTGTGGACCTAGAGACAATGGCTGGAAATTTATTTTTTTATAAATCTATGAAGGTATATCACAATATTTACTCTACCAGCAACAAATATGTGATAGGCCATCACCACAGATATAAATACAAATACCTTGTATTCCATAACTAACATTGTATACAATCAAAATGCACTTGACATTCAATATGGTATTGTTAGATACAGTGTGTAGATTCAATATGCTGGTTTGAAACAAAAAACTTAACAGTTGAATTTTCAGTGCATTTTGATACAATGTAATACCAATCACATCAAAAGAAAATGCAATTACCACTAGGTATGCAAGTCTGCGTTAAAGGATCAATGCCTAAAGTTAGTATTAGATAAGTAAATTGTTTGATTGGTGAATAAAGGTTATTTAAACCCAAAAACAGTTTACCTCATGGTAGATTGAAGGCTGGGCCAAGGATGGCAAACGAAATGAAATTACTTTAGGTTTACCAGCTTCATCCACTACTTCAAAATTATATAATGCTGTAACAAATGAATATTATGATGAAACACTGAATATACATCAACATATTTTTTACATTATTCAATACTCAAATGTTTGTTGCAAACTATAGTGTTAAAACATAACAATATTGGAATCAAACTATGGCCCCTGTCAGGCACAGCAACATTTTAGAGATATTAAGTTAGATATTTGATTATCTGATAATAAAATAATTATATTTGTGATAGGTTTACTACAATTTTATTTTCTTACCTATTAATAAAGTTTCAATACAGCGGCAACATTTTAAATTTCCTTGTGCTACACAACTCAAGTAATTATAAATCAAGGTTGGAAGAAACTGTAATGTAAATCTTTGAAGTTCCACTTCTTTTGACCTATAGAAACTGAACAGTTGTGTGCATACATTTTCTAGCATCTGAAATATTGGACTGAAGTTTTATAAATGACATTTATTATTTAGTGCATAAATTTCAAATCTTATAATGATATATAATTTGGAAGTTGTTAAGTTAATTGTATGAACCTCATCCTTTTGAGCATGAACTTGTTTGCTGCAACAACTTGCATCACAATCATCTTCACTGTAGAAAAGGTTAAATAAAGCAGTAGAAATTTCATGGTTGTGTTCATGCTCAGCAGCAAAACTTTTTATTTCATTTTCTTGTAATGAGGCATATTCATTTAGCCAATCCGTAATCAGCTGTTTCCACTCTACCATATTTGCAGTTTTCCGAATGGATAATGTTTTAAAAACTGAAATAAAAAATCAAGGACATTTACGATTACTTTTTCATAGAGCATGTCTTCTTAATAATATAGCAAGGAATTTGCTTTATCTTCACCAATAAAAGAGAGGAAAATAAGAAAGAAAATCACATTATTTTCCGATTTTTTTCTTCTGTAAGTAGATAATAAATATTTGCTTATGTTGAATGGCCCTTGTTTTGGAGATAATATCGATTTAATTATTAAGTTTTATATGAATATTGCTATATGATAGTATTACAACTACGATTTAAAGTAAATCAGAAAATTACACTGTAATTTCCTTTAAATTATTGGAATCGAAAAACAAATCACTATCCCCATTTCTTAGCACAGCAGACTAGTTATTTTTTATTTTTTTCAAAACGTGTGTTTTGACATTGACATTCGGTTACAGACTACGTAGTACTTCTAGTAAAAGAAGAACTTTTAATAATGGCTAATCTGCGCATTTCGCACACGTAACTTATATAGTAATTATTTCAAAGGGTTTAGCCGGATACGTATGACGAGTCGGCCCCCAAATGGGAATCGATATTGAAACTTATGTTTTAATATCGACTTGATGTTCAAACACGATTTATGTACTTTTCGCGACCGACTTCCGCTTTGACCTTGAGATAGAGAGCAAAATATCCGTATGCTTGACTATTACTGAATGTAATATATCTCTAAAGCTAATTAAGATGAAGAAGTGAAACTAACGCGAGGTGTTAGGTTACATTACAGAGTATATCACATATATTTTTTTATAATTTTTAGAATAAAAAATTACATTTAAAAAATAAAAAATAAAAAAATCATGTTTTTTTTCTGAGTTCTCTGTGACTTACAATCACGAAATTAATATATGTTATGCTCCTTTGTGTGCTCTATTACCCATAAAAATTGCGTGAAAAAAAAGTTGGTGCAACACAACGAAAAAAAATTATATGTGATTTCTGTCTTATGGTATACCCCTGTATTATAAGGTTTTCACCAAGTTTTCACATTACATGATTGTTTTTTTTTTTTCGAAATTTCACATCAGCTTGTTTTAAAACATAAGTAACTAGTCTTAAGAGATGGGATAATAGTTAAAAAAGAAATGAAAAAAAAAACAGCCAGTGTTCAATACTTATTATTATTACTTTTTCGTGTCTGTCAAAATACAAGAAACAAAATATTAATCATCGTCACTGTTGTAATTAATTACAATCGGAACACTTTGAGTCGCAAATAACTTGGTTAGGACCTCAGCAGGACGTACGATTTTGGACAAATATCATCCATATGATAGATAATAAATAATAGCTGCTACATGAGAACAGCATCCCACTGTACGTTCGTTATTACTGTTTGCCATTGGGGTAGGGCTGCCATCCGTCCGGAATTCCCCGGATTTGTCCTAGTTTGAAGGGCGTCCGGGGGCCGTCCGGTAGGGGTTTCTGAAAAGTGTCCGGGTGGAACCTTTTGTTGTCAGGGAAAATCCATTTTTTTATAGATAAGCGATAAATTGAAATAAATCTTTGTTAAAAATTCATTTACAACAACCCGCATTTAAGAAGACGGCTAAATAGTCGACGATCGAACGCCCCCACCTGTGCCCCCGCGCCGCGTGCTCACCCGAGCCGCCACTCACTCACCCAGTCGCACGCATAATAGCAAGTGAAGCGCATGCGTGCTTCGCGCGTTAATACCACTTCGATATTGCAATTTACGTAAGTTTACATATTATTTTGTCACTTTTTTTGAGTACCTACCTACAAGTATGGTAACTTTTTTGAGTACGTATGTTAATATTCTTCAGAATTAAATCGCTTGTCGCGGAAAGTACTTGTATCTACGAGCAACGGATGCCCGCCATAACTGTGTGTATATCTAAGCTTTCTGACTTTTCTTTTATTGCTTTTTAGATCAAAATGCCCAAGCGTAAATGCACGTTCAACAGCGAATTGCAAAGCAAATATCCTATGTTGAAAAGAGGAAAATATGACTGGGAAGTACAGTGCACGATTTGTTCTGCGAATATTTCCATTGCAAATAAAGGTGTTTCCGACATTAAAGAGCACCTTAACACACAAAAACACAAAACTAATTCGAAAAGCCAAGCTAGTAGTTCAAACATCTCGTCATTCTTTGAAAAAACTAGACCTAGCTCAGAAGAAAATGTTATTCGAGCAGCCGAAGGCGCAATGGCTTACCACACAGTCAATCACCACATGTCGTTTAATTCTTTGGATTGTAGCAATTCCCTTAACCAAGTAATGTTTTCGGAGTCAAATACGGCAAAAAACATGACATGTAATCGCACGAAAGCTACAGCTATTGTAAATAACGTGTTATGCCCTTTAACAATTGCTGAACTAAAAAGTGATCTAACAGATGTTGCATTCGTAAGTGTATCCACCGATGCTAGTAATCACGGCAGTACTAAATTATTCCCCATCATCATTCAGTATTTTGATAAACAAAAAAATGGCATCACATCAAAGCTCCTTGAAATCGAGTCTACTGAAAATGAGACATCTGACACAATTGTTGAGATTATTATGAAACAACTTCGGGAGCATGATCTTCTATCGAAGTGTATAGCATTTAGTGGCGACAACTGCAACACAAACTTCGGTGGGAGCACTAGATCCGGGACAAATAATGTCTTCTGCAAACTGAAAAGTAAACTTAATCCAAATATTGTTGGCATGGGATGTTCTGCCCATATACTTCATAACGCTATGCACCATGGATGCGACTTACTTCCTATTGACGTAGAGACGATTATATTGAAAATATACAACTTTTTCTCAATTTATACAGTTCGCACAGAAGCTCTCAAGGGATTCTGTGAAGCTTCTGAATCGGAGTACAAGCAGCTTTTATTTCATTCGAAAACACGATGGCTAAGCCTTTTTCCCGCATTAGAGAGGCTTTTGAAAATGTATGAGTCCTTAAAAAGTTATTTTGAAAGCTTGGACAGACCACCCGTTATAATCAAAAAATTTTTTGAAGATCCACTATCAGAAGCATATATGTTTCTCATTCATTCAGTGATGTACGTTTTCCATGGAAAAATCGAAAAATTGGAGAAAAGTGATAATTCCATTATCGAAACCAGAAACATATTGGTGTCTTTGAATAAAACATTAGAAGACAGAATAAAAGAAAACTTTGTGCCTCTCAAGGCACAAAGTATTTTAAACAAACAAGATGAAAGCACGAAAAACGAGTTCAAAAAGAATTGTACCGATTTTTACAGAGAAATTAATTCTTACATAGAAAAGTGGGAAAAACCAATGAAGGACTTTGACAAATTCAATTGGATAATGTTGCCAAACATCACTGAAAATACTCCATGGTCTGATGTCGAGAAAACAGTATTATTCCTCAAAGAAATTAACATCGAAATCGATGACACGAAGCTGATTGACGAATGGACAAACTTAAAAACTTATAGCATGAACCTTACTGACGGCGAAAAGCTTTTAAGCGCAAACCAGCTGTGGCTGAATTTTTTTCAAACACCTAACGCCCATTTATACTCTGAACTGCTCAAAATCGCACAGTATTATTTTTGTATACCAGCTCACAATGCAAATGTAGAGAGAGTGTTCTCTCTAGTCACGCAGCAATGGACGAAAGAAAGAAACTCGCTAAACATACACACGGTTTCTTCTATGATCAAAGTCAAGTATAATTTCAAGGACCTGAGTTGTTCCGACTTTTACAAATTCTTGTTGGAAAAGAAAGATATTTTGGCGAAAATCGGAAAGACTGAAAAATACCAAAAGAAGTAAAAAAAAGATCTCGTTAAAATTAACAGTTTTAGCAATTACTTAAGTTTTAATTAATAATCAACAAATATGATAGGTATTCGGCTACCTAACTAGATGACTGAAAATATCATTGGCATAGTTTATTTTAAAATTATAAAGTATTATAGTTAGTTAGTTAGTTACTAGTAGTATCATATAATAATTTGATTGATACCAAAAAAAAAGAGTGTTTCTAATTATTTTTTGTTACTATGTTACCTCAGAAAGAGTGGTTAATTTTATTAAAAGTGTCTGTTATTTGTTACTATTACATACGTACTTCATTTGATTTTAATATCAAGCTGTATAAAAGAATAAAAAATTAAAAATTATAATGATGTTTTTATTTTTTTGCGAAAAATACTTTTTCTGAAGTGTCCGGGAAAAATACCATATTTCGCCCAAATGTCCGGGGTTTTTGCCGTGTGTATCCGGCGTCGGCAATTTAGGTTTGGGGCAATCACAGCAATAACGAAGAATACTATTGTAGTCATTACCTTCGGAAATATAGTGAATGTAAATTCGATAGACTTTTCTATTTATATGTCTTGACTTTACTTCTGCTTTGATGATATTAGGTGCTGATTTCACATATTGTACTGAGAGATTATTTTGATCGTCCATTATTTCGGCCAAGTTAAATGCTGCACATTTAGAAGTAGAAGCTTTTTTGTTAATATATGGGATAAGTCGACACTTCTTACAAAAAATATCATTAACTATTACGATTTTATTCAAACAGTCACTAAACACTTTAGCTTCTTCTTCATTCTTTATAATTTTTTTATAACCAGGAATCTTACACAGGTACTTGTTACAATTTTTACACTTTCTCGACATTATTACTTAATAATGATTTGGTTCGTTAGTTAATAATTTCAAAATGCTGATACAAAATACCTATGACAGAATTTGAGTCCCAAACTGCCTTCTTGTATTACACAAATGACTGCTACTTTAGCTAAACAAACGATGCAGTAAACAGCTCGATAACAAGTTCGAACTTGTTTGTTTCACTCACACTACAAGGCGCGAATCACATATAATTTTTTTTCGTTGTGTTGCACCACCTTTTTTTTCACGCAATTTTTATGGGTGATAGAGCACACAAAGGAGCATAACATATATTAATTTCGTGATTGTAAGTCACAGAGAACTCAGAAAAAAAAACATGTTTTTTTTTATTTTTATTTTTTTAATGTAATTTTTTAATCTAAAAATTATAAAAAAATATATGTGATATACTCTGTAATGTAACCTAACACCTCGCGTTAGTTTCACTTCTTCATCTTAATTAGCTTCAGAGATATATCACATTCAGTAATAGTCAAGCATATGGATATTTTGCTCTCTATCTCAAGGTCAAAGCGGAATTCGGTCGCGAAAAGTACATAAATCGTGTTTGAACATCAAGTCTATATTAAAACATAAGTTTCAATATCGATTCCCATTTGGGGGCCGACTCGTCATACGTATCCGGCTAAACTTGGGCTAAACCCTTTAAATGCAAAATCGACCACATAGTAAATATTGTATTTGGGTGGAATTTCAGGAAATCAAACAAGGAAAATGAATATGTGTGGCCAGAGTTATACTTATATATTAAAAAGGTTTCAATAAATTAGGTCTGTTTTGAAAATTTTATAAAGGTTTTTAAATCAAAAAATTTGGAACTTTATCAGTTGCTTGGTCATTTAATAAAACCTTTTTGTGGAAACTGGGAACAGAGTGCTATAGGTAGCAATTTGTTTACAATAGGTGAGTACGTAAATGGATTAGTTTTCACATTGGTTAAGATACAAAAGATAAAATTGAAAACCGTAAGTTTATCGTATTTTATCGATATTAATCGTGAATTTGCCACGTAATGCAACTCAAACGTCAATGTCAAATTTGTTGCGGTTGTGGACGAGCTGATTCTGTCAAAAGACTTATATTTGAAGAAATACATTATTTTTTTACAATTCTACTATATCCTAATGGGTTCCTCCCATAGTACGGAAGTCCCCGGAGGTGGATCTGATGGCTATCATATTTTACGAGTTTGTATTATAAGTCAATAGAATATTTTAAACATTCAATTTGATGAACTTTTTAGACACGTCAATATTTTGTTTTATAGGTGCAAGACGGCTCTCCCGGTCAAAAAGCTAATCTAGAAGCGTTTTTTGATTTCATAGTAGCTATTGAAAATACTAGACTGGATCAAGATAACGACACACTTAAGGAATTGTTGAAGAAAAATGTTGATAAAACTATAAAAATGTTGATATACAGTAGTAAAACGCAATCGGTGCGGGAAGTTATGGTAACACCCAGTGCAAATTGGGGCGGACAGGGCTTACTCGGCGTTAGCATCAGGTTCTGTTCCTTTGAAGGTGCTACTGAAAACGTGTGGCATGTCTTGGTATGGTACCCAATGAGTTGCAAATAATTTATTGAAAGTGTACCTTATTATCATGAATGTTACTTAAATTACACACCTTTTATTACAGGAAGTACATCCATCATCTCCAGCAGAATTAGCTGGCCTGAGGCCATTTTCTGATTATATTATTGGTGCTGATTCTGTGATGCATGAAAGTGAAGATTTTTTCACTCTTATAGAAGCCCACGAGGGGAGGTCTTTGAAGCTTTATGTCTATAATGTAAATGATGATACTTGCCGTGAAGTGAACATAACACCAAATCACAATTGGGGTGGAGAGGGCAGTCTTGGTTGTGGTGTTGGTTATGGTTACTTACACAGGATTCCAATAAATACTCATACACCTCCACAAAATACTTATAGTGCTACTACTCCATTGGTATGTATCATATTTTATTTATTGATACAGTATAAGTTAAAAGTGTTGATTAAGATCATCAGGTTTATGTTTATATATTTCATCTCATAAGTAATATGAGATTAAATATCCTAATATGCACTCTTTAATAGTTAAACATTCATAATTAGGTTTTGAAATGTTGATATTATTAAATAATAGTTATTTTGTTATTAACTAAACATTTAGATTAATCTTAGTGGATATTTTGTTAATGAATACGATGTATATGTAAATATTTTGGCTTTTCAGCTATCTGCACAATTGCCAAATATGGAGCAAAATTTGGTATCAGGCGTAAGCAATCTGAATATAAATCAAAATTCTCAAAAGAGTGTCCCTCAGGCAGCATATGCACCACCTGAGTCCATACAGGCACCTCCACCGTTCTTAACTGGTGTCCCTATGGTGAAGACTGGCAATTTTGAGACTACCAATGCTGAGAATATTCCTGCACACATTCCAGAGCAGCCATTAGTACAGCAACCTGTATCCCAAACTCAATCAATGGTGTCCAACATGGCAGCTTACTCTAGTAGTAAGTAGCTTCATCTTTTTTGTAAATGCACAATCTAGTGTGTAAATTTTTTTAAAATATATAATAATACAGAATTCTCCTTTAATAACACAGGTCTGCAAAATAATTTTTTTGAAAAGTTTTTTTCATAAACTGTTCTTACTTGTTATAATTACGTTACAAATAATATAAAACAGCAGTTATTTGGTTTATATCATGTCACACTTCTCAGAGTTACATGGTATAGTATTAGCATATAAATAACTACAAGCCAAAAATTTTTAAAAATAATGAAAAGCTTTATTGAGTTTGAATCAAATAAAAAATTTGAAAATTAAATATTAATAAAAAAAAGACAATCAATAACGTGTTTTCTTTGAAAGAAAACTGTTGTGTTGGTTTTTGTTTATGAGGTTTAACTTCTTCTCTACATATCATCCAACAATAGTCCACATCCCAGTGGCCTTGATATCTTCTTTCCATCTCTTCTATATCTTGATAGATTGTAATCGCCTAAATTTTTTGGGAAAAAATCAATATGAGATTTAAAAAAATGGACTTTCAAACTCATATTACAACCCAAGATTTTATAGTCATTTAACATTTCTGTGACAATACTTTTATGATAAGGACCTTTGTTATTGCCAAAAAATTTTGAAACCACATTTTTAAAGTCATTCCAAGCATTTTGTTCTAAGGTTGTCATATTTCTTCAAATTCTACGTTTAATGATATCAGGTCCCATGAATATCCTTTCTTTCAACTTAGCCTCAGATAAGGTAAGGAAACATGAGCATAGGTACTTGAAAGTATTGCCATCTTGTGCTAATGCCATAACAAACTGTTTAATTAGACCAAGTTTAATGTGAAGTGGTGGAAGCAATACTTTCTTGGGGTTGTGGAAATGTGACATGTTACAATAAAAAAAAGTTTATATTTGCATTATGTATGTCAACATGTGGTGCAAGATATTTTTAAAATTCTCCAAAAAACTTTTTCATTGCAGATCTGTGTAATTACTTACTAATTTTGCTTACTTACTAACAAACGGTACCAGAGTCCCGTACACCCCCCCCCCCCCCACCTGTAGTATAGCATATTTTCCTGATGACTGGTGACCAGACACCCCTTCAAAATATCTCTAGATATGCACATTAAAATTACCAGGTGTGGTTGCTTTATTAAGCGTTTTATGTATTAAACAAGCATTGTAAAATCACATATATAAATAATTTTGTACTAGCTTTCCACCCGTGGCTTACCAATGTGGACCATTATTACATGTATAAACCATCCTCTTGAATCACTCTGTATATTCATGAAAACTATTGTTTCATACTATATATAGATTATAATATGTATATATCGACGCTGGAAAGCAAACACGTAAAACCAAAATTGTTCTTAAGAGCAGAAAAACTTTTATTTTTTTCGATAAATAATTCCTATAAACGTCCAAAATAACAAATAAGGTGTTCCTTAGTTTGGAAAAATATAAAGATTTTCCTTTCTAAACATCCATTTTGGTTTTGCAGGTTATTATATGTTTGCTTTCCAGCGTCGATATTATTTTATATCGAAATTATGCATCTTGATTATATTACACATTCACTAATGTCTGCTAAAAACATTAATGGAAGTCCTTTTTTTCAAAAGAGTATTATTATTATGAACATTTTTTTCCAGATTTGGCTGAAGCAACATTGACTAATTTAGGCAGCATACCATCTGTGTCCAATATGCAACCACCAGCACCACTGCCAAATTTACCAGGAATCCCTATGAACCAACCCCAGCCTTACATACCAATGATGCCTACCTATACCCAACAGCAGGTCAGCTCTACTACGACATATTCTCAAAGTGCGCCGCCCCCTTTAGTCCCAACTTTTGATATGAGCAATTTTACACCGGCGCCAATTCAACCACCGCCAATGTCGACTGGACTACCGGTAGTGACACCTGTCTCTTTACCGGGAATGCCATCTATTACTGTTAGTGCCACACTACCTGTCTCCACAATGAAAGAGATACACCAACAACAGTCACAACACCAACAGGATTTATTATCGTGAAAAGATATAACACTGTTATTGTTCGCCTTTTATAGATAATATTATCAAGCAGCAATTTTCTAATTTGCTGATGTTACTTTATTTTAAATGTTTTGTCCAAATCATGTACAATATCAGGAAGGCATATTCTGAAATAGAAGATTAGATGCTAACGATTATAACAATAATTGTTGAGATGTGCAATAAATTGCTTAAGTTCTATTTGACTTGTGCATATTTCAGTTATTTAATTTATTGACTTGTTAATCACCCCACTATTTATGTGGATGTTAAACTGATTTGTTTTTGTGTTTCTGCCTTCCCCAGTTAACATTAAGTGTACATTTAAAATTTAAAAAAATAAATAAAAATCGAAAAGCTGACATGTGTTATTTATTAATTCTAAACAACCACCTATCCTCTATGTGTGTTAAAGATTATAGAATACGCCTACCTACATGTTATAGAGTACATACAATACCCTATTTTAGAGCAAGGTTGGCAACCCTGTCATATTTGACGACTTACGTCGCGTAGCGTAGAGTGTTCATATTTTTTCATGAGATCAGGAATAATTTAATATCAATTTTGTATGTACACTCGACGGATAATCCATACGTACTAACTACCATGCGTATATTAAGATTTGTGCTGAAACCCTAAGACATGACTGGTGGTCGTGAAGTCTAGAGGTCGAAACTAAATAACAAGGCTTTTCATATTTATTACAACATTTTTATTGCCGATAACTGTAATAGAAAATGCCGTAAATATCATCGTGGCAAAAGGCGGCCTCAGCTCCGAAGACGAAGTTTTATGTAAATACAAAGAATCTATTCAAGAACGTTATGAGAAACTTAGTTTTAAATAAAGGCCTCGAGTTTTGTTAGTAAGAATTTAGATAAGTACAAAAAGTTTATATAAATATAAATATTTACACAGCCTTACTAATAACATATTATAGCTGAGATACCTAATTATATAATATCAACATTTCGACGGTTCGGTTGGTACACCTTTCTTATAACCTAATTTTTCAAATGCCGTCAGAATTTTCATTTGCCTGTGTTAAAGGTCGGCACAAACCTATACCAAAGATGCGTCGCGAATTATCGGTCGCGGAATGTTCGAACAGTCAAATAAATACTTTTGCATACTACGGATGATACTAGAAAAATGGTAGTTTCTTACTTAGTTACTCTATGGATGATAAGTTGCGTACCTTAGGATCATCTTAGAATAATAACGTACCGCGAGACGCTCGACAGGTCTTCCATCAGATAGATATAATAAAATCTTTTAATCAGCTAAAGAAAAAGAAAACCGCTGATTTATGGGGTAATCCATTGAAGTTTCTTAATCGGCAGGGCTCAATACTTGGTCCTTTCTTGTTTTTAATTTACATAAATAACTTGCCTTATTTCGTAAGGGATGATCACGAGATAGTTTTGCTTGCGGATAACACTTTACTTTTATTTAAAATTAAAAGAGGACTATCTCTAATGGACGATGTGACCAATTCTATCGCTAAAGTAGTACATTGGTTTAATGTAAATAATCTTCTCCTTAATGAAGGAAAAACAAAATGCCTAAAATTGGTACTACCTTATGTTAAACCACAGTATTTTTAGGAATAATATTAGATTCTAAACTACAGTGGCGCCCACATATTGATAAATTTGTCGAGTAGACTTAGTTCTGCAGCATATGCCGTAATGAAGATACGTAGGTTAACTGACATGAATACTGCCAAATTAATATACTTCAGTTACTTTAATAGTTTAATGTCGTACGGAATCCTATTGTGGGGAAATGCTGCCGACATACAAACGATTTTTGTGCTTCAGAAAAGGGCAATTAGATCAATTTATAACCTTAGGATGAGGGACTCTTTAAGGGAGAAATTTAAGGAAATAGGCTTCTCAATACATATACGAGAACTGAATGTACGTTCGTAAAAATATTAGTTTGTTTTCTATAAAATGTGAAGTATACAATTTTAATACAAGAAATAAATTAACGGTGCCTGTCACTAGACTGCAAAAAGTTAATAACTCATTCAGGGGTCTTTGTGTGCGCTTCTACAATAAGGTCCCAAGCAAAATACAACAACTAGATATCATGCAGTTTAAATCTACTATTAAAAATAATTATTAAAAAAGCTTATTATAAGGTATCCGATTATATAACAGATAAGAATGCTCAGACTTGAGATGATCCAGCAACTGGATAGGTGATTACTTTTTTAACTCATTATATATCAAAAATTATCTTGTTTCCATTATTATTAAATGATTATGTTATCCTTATCATTTTAAGACCATAGTTTTTTTCTCTCTCTATTTATAATGTATTGATCTGGTAGTGACATGGTTTTTGTAAATGTCATTACTCCTATTAGAGCTGGTGAGTTTCTTGCTCGTTCTTGATCAGCCAAAAGACGTCCTGAACGAGTGGTAGGGAAAAAATGTTGGACGATTCAAAAGTACTTTTAGGAAGTCAATTTGAATAAAGATTATTTTGACTTTGATTTTGATATGTGCCAACAAAAGTTTTTTGCAGATGGCACCAATTAATATTTGTATACTGATGACGATAGTCAATTGATTTCCATTATTTTTATAACTAAATTTGTACCTTTACTTCTATAAATATATCCTAGGTAAATGTTTTTTTAAATATCCATATTACAAATAGTTATTATATAGGTATATTTAGTATCATAAGCCACTTATTTATCCAGTAAGCTATATTCGATTTACGTCAGTTCAAATAATCAAATTTCTTTGTATTGTCAGTAAATAAGTCAAGATTTTAATTCAGAATTAACGCCATCTATAAATTACGTCACATGAATTTCATAATTTTTAACTCCTTTATTACATGTAGGTTATATTTTACAATAAGGAGAGGAGCAACTTTTTATAATTATAAGACTTTTTTAAAATTGTATCTAGATAAATTAAAAGAAACTTAGTTAAATGTACCTTAACATATACGGATTTGTAAATTCATTAAATTATAAGAAAAATATATTTTGAAATCACATGAACTGAATTGCCTTTTACAATGCGATTCATCAATCTTGTCACTGAATACTGGATAAGATTACTATTTCCATATTTTTGTGTGTTAAAAAACTGTTTTATTACTTAATCTAACATTGCGAACTATCCTCAATAGAGGTGGACTCTAATTTGAAACTGTTATTGTAATTGTAATCGTCTGGCGGTGGTTTTTCCGAAAGGCGAAGGGCAGGGTTGTCATGGTGGTAGTCAGAGGGTAAGTCGCTGTAGAACACCCCGCCCGCCATCTCTGAGAGACGACGACGCCTTCGCATATCTTTGTCATCTGCCAGACTGGGTGGACGGACACTAGAGCTACGCCGCCTCTCTGATCCTAGACGTGCTGAGATGCGAAGTGCTTTCTGTAAATTTAACCAATAATAATTATAACATCAGAAATTATTATTTTCAAAAAGAAGATGCTACTTTTTTGAAAATAATAATTTCAAAAATAAATGGAATTAAAGTCTTGGGATCTTGATCTATATTCTATGTTTGTTTTGATAGTTGGCAGATTGGCAGACTTAAGTTGGAGTGATATGGATAACTTATTATCGTGAAAAAAAGCCATTTATTTTTATTTGTTCACGTCGGTGTAAATGGTGTCAACAATTAGGGTATTATAATCAGCGATGACTCGATGAAACTTGGTGCCTTAGGCGAACACTGGAACAACGCTCACAAAAAACACAACAAAATAAAAGACTGAACTTATTTGTACCGAGTGTAAGTTTTCCAATGACGAAATAAATTACTTAGGTTAGCAGTATGAGTTTTTTGTACTTTTGAATACTGTGAACACCGTGATTTTTAAGCAGGTACTGCATGTAGGTAAACAATACGAGCACTCTAGGCAGTTGCCTAGTTGAAATCGCTCATTGAGCGTAATAGTAAAATAGTTCACAACGCGTTGCAATCACAGTAAAATATCCACATAGCGAAATTCATGTTATAGTTCTTAGGGAAACACTTACGACGCGTTGTGGCTGTCATGCTATTCGATTACAACGCGTTATACAGCGTTTCAGCCACGACACGGATTGTGTTTATTCTGCGATTGCCACATCCCGTCGTGAGCGTTTTCATTTCATAACGCGCACAACACAATGAAAAATGCATAAAAATCCATCAACCCCAGGTTCGTCGAGGTGGGACTAGAACGATTTTTAAGCATTTTTCATTAATTATGACTAGTTTTTGCCAGCGGTTTCGCCCGCGTGGACCCTAGGGAAATGTGTAGTGGGATAAAAAGTATCCTATTATCTAAGTCAGCTAATACCCTATCTGTATACCAAATTTCATCAAATCCGTTCAGTAGTTTCAGCGTGATTGACCGACAAACATCCAAACATCCAAAAAGGAAACTTTCACATTTATAATATTAATAGGATTATAGTATTGCGAATGCAAAATTTGAATTTTCGAATGAAATGAAGACAGATGGTAATAAATATTTATAAAGGATTAACCCTTTATAAATATATATTTCCGTATCGCTTGGCATCATAATATACTTAATATGAAAATATTATATTATCTTAGCCGTGTGTATTAAGCCATTCTATACAATCCAGAAAGAATATTTAATCTTAAGATAAAATATTATACGAGGGTCAAACTGAAAGTTCTTAGAAAATCAAAAACTGATTACATTAGCCAGTTATTAGTTTTATTATATATTTTCAAAATATTGTCCATTCACGTCAATACACCGCTGCATGCGATGGAACCACTGGGAAAAGCACTTTGCCCACTCGTCCTTAGGGGTCTCTTCAATGGCATCGCGATACGCAGCCACCGCTTCTTCAGCATTCATAAACCGCTTTCCTTTAAGTTTTTCTTTAATTTTTGGAAATAAATAAAAATCACAAGGCGCGAGGTCGGGGCTATACGGCGGGTGACCCAGTAATTCAACGTTTGATGTCGCCAAATAGTCGATCGTTCGCTTGGCGGTGTGCGACGAGGCGTTGTCGTGGTGAAGGAGGATCCTACTGCGAGGTCGTTTCTCTCGAACTTTTTCCAAGACAAGTGGCAAACAATTGGTAGTGTACCATTCTGCAGAAACTGTTTTTTGATCCTCTAACACAATTGTTGCAAAATGACCTATCCTTCCAAAGAACGAGGCCACCATTTTTTTTCCCGCACTTCGATCTCTCTTCACTTTAGTTGGCAACTCCTCGAAAGGAAACACCCACTGAGCAGATTGTCTTTTGGTTTTAGGATCATAACAGTAAATCCAGCTTTCGTCACCTGTTAGTATGTCGAACACAGCATTTGAGTCACCTCCGTTAAATCTTTCAATCATTTTACGACACCAATCCACACGATGGAGTTTTTGAGCCTCAGTAAAATTATGAGGTATCCACCGGGCGCAAAGCTTCCTGACCGCTAAATGTTTGTGGAGGATTTTGTGCACTTGACTCATACCGATGCCTAAGCTTGTCCGAATCTGTTGATAGGTCACTCTTTTGTCAGTCTCTATCATACGCCGCACAACACAGATGTTATCTTCAGTCGTCGCCGTAGAAGGCCGTCCCTCACGTAAATCATCAGTGAGATTAGTGCGACCACGTTTAAACTCATTAAACCAGTTGTAAACAGTCGCACGAGATGGGGCTTCATCGTGAAAGGCCAATCGTAGTCTATCATAACTTTCTTGTTGACTTAAATGACATCGAAAGTCATAAAAAATCATTGCACGAAAATTTTCTCGTGTTAAATTCATGATGACGTGACACAGACAATTTTCAATTTGCCGCCAAATCGTAAAACAAATGACAAATGAATGAAATATATACTCAGTAATATTGGCAAAGAGTTATATTTTCAAATTTTAGAATTATTTTTTTATTGTATTGTTTATAAGTGGCCAGTTCTAAGAACTTTCAGTTTGACCCTCGTAGTAGGTATCAACGTGTGTTACGTGCGGATGTACTTATTTCAAAATAATACTTTTTAAACAGGTAAAAAGTCTTCGCCATTACCTCTTAATTGTGTCAGAGCTGAGTCTCACCTTAACTTTATATGGCAGAGAATTGAGAAAGTTCACAACGGGCGGTGATAGGAGGTCGATAGGCACTCGCACCGGGTGTGTTGCGCCTGTCACCGCTGATACCAGTAGCCCTACGAACACTGTAGCTGCACATCCGAGCCCTGAATACCACAGGTAGGAGACTCGGAACAGCCAAAACACAGCCTCATCGTGACGTGCTCTACGACAGAAAAATATAATAAAATGTATTATTTCTTCACGTTCCTGAATTGTCCAGTCCAATTTATATTACAGATATTCGCCGGCGTAAATTGTAGCCTATGCTATCCTCCTATAAAGTAGGTTCCCGTTGGTGAAAGAATTTTTAAAATCGGTCTAGTAATTTCGGAGTCTATCGATGCCAATAAACAAACAATCAAATTGATCCTCTTTATAATATTTGTTTTGTGAAAGCCACAAAGGACGCACTACGCATACGCGGGACAGGAAAGCTATATTTTACGCGGGTGACAAAGCTATAATGAAGGCGGTAGAAGTCGCGAGATTGTGGATTTTTTGATATTCATTGACGTCGGTAAGTATTTTGCTCTACTTACGTAGGATCTTTGATGATATGCACTGTAAGGTTGGAGGCATGACAGCCTTCTGTGGAGCCTGGTAAACGAGTCATAGGCACCTGTGCTAGCTGAGCTCCACCACCCGCCACTATTACCAGCAGGAGTCCAAATACGCCACCTGCTACAGCACCCTATAAATATAAAAAAATCATATCCTCATTCTTGTGTCATTAAGTCTCCTTCATTAAATTCAGTTTTCGATGCAAAAATTAAACAACTGTGGCTAAAGCCGGTCACAAGATGGGTGACCAAAAATTTACTATATCGCGCTCCGTGCTCCAGTGCATTAAAAACCATCAAATGGCCCATGTGTTGGGTCAGCAGTAGGCTGACGATGATTTTTATATACAGCACTATCAAATTTCTCCATTTAATTTTAAACTTTAATACATTGAATGTTGATTTCAAAATAAATTACGGAGATATGACATATTTTGGTAACCGGACGTACAGCTGTGTACCATGTTTCGATTAAGTTAGTTGTACAAGGGGAAATATTTTCTATCTATTGTCGAAACTTCAATTATTTCAACATGTCCATAATCCATAATGCAACAAATAATATAAATATACTAAGTATGTACGTATCTGTATTGGTTTATTTGACATTCCAATATATTGCGCAGATAGTCTAGCGATAGAATGTTTGTTACGTAAACTGAATTAATAAAACTTACCTAGAAGTGTTAGACTTGTGGCAAAATTGTTCGAGTAGTATGCAATAATGTAAAGTCGAGGAAATTATCATTCTCCCATCTTGCACAAATTTTTAAAAGTTATCATGCAGTATGAAGTAATTCTAAGAATAAACTGTGAGGATCAAGTGCACGATAATCACTTAAATGTGGCATGGCGCCAAGTTCTTTACTTTAATATGATTTTGTGAAGTCTTTAATATTTATATATGCAAAAACTTTTAACTAACCAAGTTGAGTCTGTACTTATTGATTAAAATCAAAAGAAATTTTAGACTTAAAACGATAAAAAAACGTTGATGTCTTTTATTAGAGAAAAAAAAACTAAATCATTAACATTGACATTAATAACCAAATTTACGCTGACACTGCACTTAGTATTAGTCAAAATTCAAATTATTAACAGAGACTTAGCAAAGGTTAACCTAGTACGAGGTTCTACGGGAGTAATATTTACTCCAAAAAGTTGTTTATTTTCTGTATAATATGAATTCGGACTAATACTCAAATTGCAATTTTAGCGTAAATTTAGTTTGACGTTAAATTATGTTTATTAAGAGCCCTATAAGCATTTTGATCTGATTTAACTTGACTTGAACTATGACTTAGTTTAAATACTGTACCATTTTTGTGTCTAAATCTCAATAAACTATTACCTACATCTAAATATATATAACTCAAGGGTGACTGACTGACATAGTGATCTATCAACGCACAGCTCAAACCACTGGACGGATCGGGTTGAAATTTGGCATGCAGGTAGATGTTATGACGTAGGCATCCCCTAAGAAAGGATTTTCATAATTTCCAACCCCAAAGGGATAAAATAGGGGATGAAAGTTTGTATGAAACTTAGTCAATTTTAAACCGATAGAGCTGAGACTTTGCATGCATAAAGCTACTATGACTTAAGCATCTAAGAAAGAATTCTGATCAATTCTACCCCGAAGGGGATAAAATAGGGGATGAAAGTTTGTATGAAACTTTGTCAATTTTTAACCGATCGGGCTGAGACTCCGCATGCATAAAGCTACTATGACGTAGGCATCTCCTAAGAAAGGATTTTGATAAATTCCATCACTAAAGGGATAAAATAGGGGATGAAACTTTATTTCAGATATTTTACACGGTATAATGAATAAATATTCGTTAGAAATGCTGCTAAAAGTAACTTTACCACGCGGACGAAGTCGCGGGCAAAAGCTTATCTACAATAAGTTCCAAACATCTACTGTTTTGTATTCGGTGGTAAAACTAAGCAGACTTCGAATAATGGCCTTATCATGTGTCAATATAGAACCTAATAGGTAGTTAAAAAATGATTTAAATTTTTATCTATTTACGTGCTTATTACTAATGCTCACTTTTAAATTTGGCATGAAGCTGTAAAACAACATCTATGACACTTTCATCTTTGTTGATGAGTAAGTAATAAATTTTCGAGCGATGACTACCAGGAGTTTCATAGAATGTCTACCAACTTTGGATCTTTGATAATAAAGTTGTTGTCTTGACATCTATGTGCTTAAACATGTACTCTAATTTTTTATTTATTTCTTAATATAGATGAAGATGATATAAATATCTTATCTTCTTATTATTATTTACATACAATATGAAATAATTAATTTAATAGCAACAGTAATTGAATTAGAAGTTTATAAATATTTATGAAATTTGAATTTAATTACTTGTTTGTTTGAAGTTCAGTTTGATACACGATATATCCATAGCAGAATTACCTTAGCGTTAGCCCATGGGAACAGCATACCGAGTGAGAATAGGCCCAGTGTCACACCGCCTGTCATTCCGTTGAAGGAAAGAGCGAGCTGCAACACGGGCCCAAGCCTTTCAACCGCAAACACCAACGCGAACGACACAGCACCGCATACGAAACACACCCAACGAGCTATCTGTTTATTAATAAAATAATTTAAGACTTTCAACGAGATATTCGATCTCCATGGTTGAGTACTTATTGCATCCATGCAAGCTAAGCTTAGGTTTTTTGTTTGATATCTGCTTACGTCGATGTAAAAAATTTGCTTTTTAGTCTGGAGTGGTTCTGGATTTCAGGTTCTCAAAACACATGTTAGTTAGTTCTTCAATTTGATGGGGTTTAATAAGTATTTTTAAAGTTCATAAAGAATTTTCTTAATAAAAATCAAGAAAGTTTAGATCGAGAATCTCAAGTATGCGCAAAATTTGCAGAAACTTAAACAAAAGGTCACGGAAAAACCTTATCATTGTTTGAAAAAATAATTCACTAACTCATTGTCTCATTATTTATTGGCAATAATAAATAGCAATGGCAAAATTAGTGTTTTTGTAATTAGTGTTTATTCAAAATTAGATTTCGTCTTGTCAGATGAAGTAATAAATAAGAAAATATAAATATTTAAAAAATTATAATAAGACAGTAGGTAACTTAAAATAAACTGAACTAAAACATGTAACTTGGGTAGGGTATAGCTATTATCTTTAAGTTAGGTAAACCTATAGTTGGCAAGTGGTAATTTAATTTAAGAGTTTTATGTTGTCGTGTGAAATAATTAGGTTACTGTTAAAAATAAAAAAGGCAACTCTTACTAAAGCTCCTTTATCTTCTGGTAAAGTTAAACCTAGAAGTCCTGTTGCTAAATCTTGACATGCTACAGCTGCTAACGAATTCAGCGCTGACGCTACGGTTCTGAAAAATATGTGTCCATAATTGTTTTGATGAAATGCCGAAATATATGACAATAACATTTCATTGTACGGATACGAATTGTTACGATCCTAATTCACCAATATGGTGCTCGAGTTAAAACTGGTGTATCAACTGGACTTTTCCAGTTAAGTCTGAGTTTTGTGGGATTTGATTTCACGACAATTACATGACAGTCTTCAGTGGGCTTTCAGCCTATTCAGAATCATCTGAACGTGTTGTGTTAGTGGTGTTGGTGTAAAGTGTATAACTAACCCAAGACTAGCAGCAAATATTCCTGCTACAAAGAAGCCTGGAACACCTTTTGATACACCGAGTTCACGCATCACATAGAGCGGCAGAAGACGATCTGATCCGTTCGTTATTCCAGCCTGTAAGAATGAGGTACCGCTATTATTTTTAAATTAAAATCCATTAAAATTTTAGATAGAATAGAACCGTAACGCTAACATTAAATCTATTCAACTATTTATTTATTTAAGCCTAATCTTACATTAGTGGAACTGTTTTCTGAAACACCGAAGATCGCAGTCTGATCTGTATCTGTTGATTTCGAGGGATAGATCTTACCGAAGATTGTGGGACGCAATTAAAGTATAGATAGAAATATACTTATTGCTTAATGTAGTTAGCAAAATATTGAGAGAGTGCATTGTTTACTAGTATTTTACATAGTCCTGTCAGATATTAGTAGTATTTGATAATCTCTTTTATGTATAGGGCAGGGTTTCTCTAAATGGGGTACGCAAATACTTAGGGGTTCGCGATGCGACGATTTACGTAATGTTGGCTGAATTACTTGACGATGAAGGTTAACATTGTCGAAAATTATCCTTAAAGAGATTTTTCTTTTGGAACTGTATTTTTTCATTAAAATAAAAACCTCATTTTCTTTAACAACCAATTTTATGATTTTCTTTGAGGGAGGGCGGTGTTTTATATAGAATCTATTTGTAGAATACATTTTGATACAGACCTGTGCTAAAGCTCCGAATATAATATCACTATAACTAGACAAATTCGCTTTGCTTCAAGGTAATAGTTAGACTGGTGGGACTAGTTTGCTTAGGAATAAGGTCTAAAATCAAGTAAATTGAACTATCGCAATTCTATTTTCGTGGTGGACCGTCTGGGTTTTGTTCTGGTTTTGTTATTTTATTATTGCGATTTCCGTAGCGCAAGTGCTTTGACTAGGAGCAATGTCCTGAATTATGCTCTCGAATGTATTTGAATTATGCTCTTGAATGTATTTGTTTAAATCTACGCAGGATAACTCCCATTAAAGAAATATTGTTTTTACAGAAATATATAAACTGTTTTTTTAAATAAAATACACAAGAAAAACGTAGGCAACAATGGTTCCTAGTTATTTCGTTATTATAGCAATTTGAATTAATTTGAACAAAAAAAATTATCGTAAACGATTCAAAATAACATTAAAACGATACATTTATAGAGAAAGGTAAAAGTGCTCGAATGCGGAGATAAAAGAGGAAGTTTTTAACGGTTGATATGTAATTGTAATATTACGGAATATGGTGACTCTGCGGTTATGACTCTTGCAGATGTAAAGCATGACGACAATGAACTAATGACATTTCAGAAGACGATTGTTAGGTATATTAAAATATTGAGCTTGGTTCTACCACAATACCCTAATTAGGACGACCTTAACGACCGAGTGGCTGGAATATTCTCTCTGGTTTGATTTCCGATCGGACACTGGTTGGATTGGTCTATCTACATTTATAGAAGATAAATATTTATATATTGGAGCTGTGTGTTGTGGTAATTTCGATATTACAACTGTTTTTGCTAGGTACCTACTTAATTAAGAATCTGTAGGAATACCTATATGTAATGTTGTGTAATATACAACAATATTGTAGCGTAAAAAACTATTTAAAAGTAAACAAATTGGTGGGTTTTATTGGCAAACATCATGGCGCCAAGCACTATCAGTACAGACTTACCTGAAGAGGATCGCAGTCGGCGTAGTGAACGGCCAAAAGTGCGCCAGTTATAAAATTGACTGAGTATACTGCAGTCAAGCCGATAGCCGACACCCAAAGAGCGACGCGTACTTGACTGATCCTTTCCACTGAGAGATATTTCTGAACGGACGCCTGGTTGGCGCAGAACATACTCGTCCAGTATAGAGTGCCGCCCACGACGACAGACCAAAAAGAGTGCCGTACTGTAGGATCCGGGTTCATACTAAAAGCAATCATTGGACTATAAGTTCAGATGCTATGTGTAAGAACCGTGTTGACGTCCAAGGAAGGTTTTTATGAAGGAAATACAGGGTAAAAATTCGTCCTTCCTTCCTGTTGAAATTAAATGCTCCAGAAAAACGAGTTGCAAAATTTATCTTTAAATAATTCTAAATAATTCTGTTCTTACGCTATTAATATAATAACCTTAGAAAACCACTTAGTTCTAAACAAATGTTTTATTATTCATTAATGCTTTTTATAAAAAATAAAAAAGTGCGTTTGGAATGATATAAAATTTAATACAGTAGTAATCGTTACTACTAAGTAATTAGTTTATTTTATTAATCATCATTATGCACTACTGAGGCACTTTAAGAATAGAATCAATCGTATCGGGTTATAATAAAAAAATTAACTACTGTAAATTAAACCAGGACATTTCTTCCAAATCATGAAAGAGTTCTAGATAATATTTTATTGTGACCTGAAATCTTTATAATTGTGATAATTTTGGTTTTAATTAAAATCTTTTGATAGTTTGAATGTTAGATTAGGAAATTGTCATGAAGTAATTACTCGAAGAAATGTAGTCGATCTGTGCGTCGGGCATGGTCCCACACGACGTCTAGTCCACCGACTTTTGCTACGCCCAGTGCCAAAACCGCTGCCAAAGATCCAATCAGAACTGCTGATTGGAATGTATCTGTCATTATTACAGCTTTCATCCCACCCTGTAAACAACACAATAGTCAGAGCCATGGAGAATTTAAACTAATGTTAGTTTCTAGATAAAATAAATCGCCTAGATAGGAATATTTTATTAAAAGAACGTTATTAGGTGTCTCATAGTAAGATTATTTGTTATGATAAGCAATCAAAGAACAGATTCGTAATTAATATGCTAATATGTCTATTTTGGTAAGCTATATGTGCAATTTTAGTAACTCGTTTAATAAGTTCGAAAGTTTTGCATAGCAGGGAGGGAGTGTCATCATACTGTTTGTTTATATTAGCAAGTTACCGATAAACGTACTACTTACTTGCGAAGCATAAAAAATGCATACAACGTAGACCAATGACACTGCTAGGTAAGTGTTTAAGCCGGTCACTGGAACAAAAATATTTACATTTAGCTGTGTTACCTCATACGTACAATTTACGGTGATAGCTTTGATGAGAAGTTAATTATGCTTACATAGAAAATTAACCATTAAGAAACCAGACCACCGCTTAACCTTTCGTTACAATTTTTCTGTTCAGATTGCGTGACCAGAAAGAAAACTAGTCGTTAACAATCTCTTGTTGCTAAAACGGAGCTAATAGTTAACGTCCTTAAACTATTCTGCAATATTGTGTTAGACGCCGAAAGAGGAGGAAAAGAATTAGGTAGGATAATGCTAAGAATGAAGTAAAGGCGTTCATCCATTAAAACGAACAAACATAAATCATTTGTATTCATTATGTCATCAGTGTGTGGCGGCAGATCGTTTTCGGATACTGCTGCAATAGCACGCCTTTCTGATTCGCGTTGCTGCACTCTATATGCAGTTTTCATGACCTATGCACGTATTATATACTTCATGGAACATTAATGACGCCAAGTTTAGCAGTAAATCGAAAATAAGTGGTGTCACGCAATATGAAATCCTCTCTTGCATACCAAAAGTTATTATGAAACTATATGGATGCTCATTTGATGCTACACAATTCAATTTCATAAGAGGTTGAATTACGTTAATACGCCTAGTTTTGTGAAGTGTACTTCACTCAACTTATTAATATTGACGTAGCTGTATATGACTTGAATCTTTGTTTAAAAAAATGTTAAGAAATGTTATTGAAATGATTTTAACGGAGGTCGAATTCAGAGTCAGAAATTTAGTGTGTTCCGTATCTCAAAACGCCAACAAGGCTGTTGAGGTTGTACCTAAAATACCTACGAGAGAAACTCCGCGTGTTTTATCTTTTCTGTTTCTAACAAAATTTTCCTACATAAGTAGAGAGTCCACAGACCAAAGCGCCATAAAGCTCTCCAATCATTCCACTCAATTAAAACAGTTTTATTTAGAATTATTTTCCTTTTGTGTTATTGCTTTCAAATATTATATTACTTACATATAAAATGTAGGCACTGTTATTGTTATCTATCACAAAGTTCTGGGACCACATAAACGAATCGTGTTTTAATTTTATTTAACATTTATTTATGGTTTAATTTTAATATTTTTATCCCAGCGACTGGGACTTTCGATAAACATAAAAAAATATCTATTTATTATTCCACCCAAAATGAGTACAGCTAATGAAAAAATGTTAATTGTAAAATTTAAACTCTGATTAAAATATAATATGTTTGTATGTTTGGTTAAAATATTCTTGAATTAAACAGTTTTTATTTGTTTTGACTTTAAACCAAGTTTTGTTTGAGTGTTTGAGTGTATAGGCTTGAATAATAGATATTTTTGGGTGAATGGTCCCAGCTGCCGGAAACCTCATTCTAAAGATACAAACAGATGATCAATTTCAGTTTAATAAGGCTTTAAATTCAAATATTTTGATGAGGAAGGTTTTTTCCACTTTGTAGAAGAACCCTAAAAATGTAACGAATCTCACTATGCCGAATTGTAGTTACTGGAAAATTAAATAAAGTATATTTATTGATAATATTTATACCATTTTATTCCGCTCGTTTTAAATGCAGTTGAGAAAAGCGAATAAAGTGATTAGAAATAGTACGTATAGAAGAAAAAAATGTAATACTGTTTCTATTGAATAAAGAACATTATAATATCATTGAGAACATCCAAAAGTAGCATAACGAAGGGCACTTAAAATTAAATTCAAAAGTGCTATTGTTAGCCATTTTGTAAGTGTGGTTCTTTATGAATTGTGGTAGTACATTATTACCACTATTATATTATTAGTAGGATCATTTTTAGGAAGCAACTGTTATTTCACCGACACTCAGAATACAAATCCTCATTTACCAATCAATTAACTATTGTAAAAAATGTTTAATGATGGTGAAAATTATCTTACAATACCAAGCGCCAGAAATGTACTATTTTTAAATTAAGTTTATCAATGTAAAAAAAAGATACGAGTAACTACAACTAGGAGTACCACAGAACAATGACAAATTTGAACTTCAGATAAAGGGTGTAAAAAGGAGACGGACACGTATTTTGTTATATTAATGTAATTTGAAATGGAAGCTGTTAATTAATAATTTAGTTAATCTATCTTGGTTAAACATTACTTAACCTAATTTTCCGCTAGGTACGATGTTAGGTGTTAAATCCCCAACTCCCAACTTTAGTTTACGATATGTGGTCTTATAAGTCACAATAAGTACTTTAACATTCTGAACGAAGAATCATAATATTTTATTAAATAAGACATATTCTCTAGGATATATCACACAGGCACCATGTAGATACCATTTCTATCCTGTCAGAAAATAATAAAAAGACCCCACACGACAAAGGTGCCGAGCGTTATCAAAATTATCCACATTAATTGAGAATCGTTTAAGAGGCCTATACAAACTCGCTATACGGCCGAACAAACTGACCTAGGACTCTAAGTTCACTTTGTTCGGCCCTGTAGCGTGTTTGTTCGATGGAAGTGGATAATTTTGTGGACGCTTTCGGCACCCTTGTCGTATGGTAGCTCGCACAGATGCGTAATATTTGTACTAATTTTGTCATTATACTTATTGAAATAGAATTACATTATAATCTATATTTTGGATTCTGAGCTCAAGAACGATAAAATTGGTCATTTTACGCAAAAATCACAGTCTAAATATAATAGGGACTGTAAATCGCATAGAAAACAAATTAACAATTTACTATCTATAATTATATAAAGTTAATAGTTATGTGAATGTTCAATTAAAAACTGACTTCAAGCATACTTATTGCGTTGTATATTGCACCATACATAATTTGAATTCTGAGATTGATTTTCGGTACATTATTGTGCATTCTAATCGTTTAGAAATGAACTCCTTAATACGTGAATATCATCATAGATTTTGAACTCACATTCTGTTTTGGTCGTGTCGACATCGTTGCCCGTGTACGCTGTGATAAAACGACGCAGTCATTCATTTTCATCGAATTATCTAGAATAACTAGTAACTAGCAGGGGCTTATTGTTAGCAGAAGCATTGTAAAACATCAGTTTTAAGGAAAATGAAATTTAAAACTTTGAAAGACTTTGAATGGGTAAATTGAATAAAGTTTGAGAAGACTGAAAAGTGCTTTCAGTAAGCTTATTTGAGTAATCAATATTTTGATTTAATTTTAATATGATTAAAAATTGGGTAGTATTTTTAAGGGTTAAGTATTACGTCCATGTATAACGTAACACAATTTTTGAAGACCCATTTTTGATATTACGAAATGCTTTGCTCCACACATACCTCACTTTTCAAATTTTTGTATCCTATTTCAATCTTTTTTTTTCTCTTTATCCAATAAATTAAATCGGTTAGTACTTAAGTTTGGGCATAAGAGCGTAACAGACACACATATTACCTGCAGTTTTTTTAATATAAGTATTTGTAATATAAGTTTAATACGAGTAAAAGTAAATAAATGGAACATACCTAATTAGAGATTCGTGAATCATAATTAGGAATATGTAATAGATGTTACAATTTTGGTACGATTGATGGCGAAATATTTTATATCCCAATAAAATTGAATAACCGAGCACGTACCATAGAAACTAAGGTGCGAGTGCCCTAAATCGTATCTATGTTTGGTCACGTTACAGGCAGTTGCGAAATTTCTATTGACATTGCTATTCGTGTATATAGTAGTTCGAATAATTTGTATGGTGTATTACGTATTGTAAGTGCGGCATGCATAATATGATGTCACCTAATTTAGGATCGTTAAGGTTCAAACTGGGGTCTTACCATGTGCTTGTTATACAATAATATTTATAGAGTAAGAAAATAACTATTTATAGATGTATACGAGACCGTT